TCCTCCTCCTCCTCCTCCTCCTCCTCTCCACACACCCCACTCCCTTCTGGCACTGATGATGTTCCCTAGTTGGGCCATGAGACGTCTGCAAGGAAACCACCCAGCTCAGAGAGCACCAGGGACCCCCATGGTCCTCCTCCTCCTCCTCCTCCTCCTCCTCCTCCTCCTCTCTCCACACACATCCTTCTAGCACTGATGATGTTCCCTAGTCAGGCCATGAGACGTCTGCAAGGAGAGCCCCTGGCTCAGAGAGCTCTAGGGACCCCTCCCCCGTCCTCGTCTTCCCCCTCTTCCTCTTCCTCTTCTCCTTCTACCTTTTCTTTTCCCCATCCTCTCCACAACCCCCCTCCCTTCTAGCCCTGATGATGTTCCCTAGTTGGGTCATGAGACGTCTGCAAGAAACAAACCAGCATAAAGAGCTTGTTTCCCCTCCTCCTCCTCCTCCCTTCTAGCACTGATGATATAACCAAGTTGGGTCATGAAACGTCTGCAAGAAAACCACCAAGCTCAGAGAGCACCAAGGACCCCACAGTCCTCCTCCTCCTCTCCACACACCCCACTCCCTTCCGGCACTGATGATGTTCCCCAGTTGGGCCACGAAACGTCTGCAAGGACACCGCCCAGCTCAGATTGCACCGAGGACCCTACTGGGTGACCTCCTCGCCCCCTTTACCTGCCTCACCCAGAAGGGCATCTTGTAGGAATTGGGTGAGCGATGGTGAATGTTGAGCACCACCACGCTGAGGATGACGGAGAAAGTGACCAGGATCATGGTGAACATCAGGTACTTGATGATGATGGGCACCGCCAGGGACGTCTCGGGGACCTTCTTGGCCAACAGCAGCAGGAAGACGGTGAGGGTGAGGAGGGCGAAGATGGAGAGAGTCATCTTCTCGCCTGGCCCAAGGAGAAAGAGAAGTCAGGCAGGGACAGCTCATCCTGAATCCACCCCAGAGGTCGGCGCAGGCAGAAAAAAATGGGCCTGCACTGAAGTCCCCGTGCAGGAGAACCGCTTCCACACTGCAGGGACCTCCCTCTGAAGTCCTGGGTTCAAATCACAGGAGGTGACCCACTCTGACCTCACTAGAATAATGAATAGAATAGAGAATAGAGAATAGAGAATAGAGAATAGAGAATAGAGAATAGAATAGAATAGAATAGAATAGAATAGAATAGAATAGAAAATTAATAAATAGAGAATAGAGAATAGAATAGAATATATAGAATAGAAAATTAATAGAGAATAGAGAATAGAATAGAATAGAATAGAATAGAAAATTAATAAATAGAGAATAGAGAATAGAATAGAATATATAGAATAGAATAGAATAGAAAATTAATAAATAGAGAATAGAGAATAGAATAGAATAGAATAGAATAAGAAATAATAGTAGAATAAGTAGAATAGAATATAGAATAGAATATAGACTAGAAGAAAGAATAGCAAAGAATAGAATAGCATAGCATAGCACAGAATAATAGAATAGAATAGAATAGAATAGAATATAAAATAGAATAGAATATAAAATAGAATAGAATTCATAATAGAATAGAATAGAAAATAGAATAGACTAGAAAATAGAATAGAATAGAAAATAGAATAGAATAGAATTCAGAATAGAATAGCATAGCATAGCATAGAATAGCATAGAATAGAAATAAAATACAGAATAGAATAGAATAAAATAGAACAGAAAATAGAATAGAATAGAATAGAATAGAAGAATAAAATAGAATAGAATAGAATAGAGTAGAATAGAATAGAATAGAATAGGAGCAGTGGTGGCGAACCTATGGCACGTGTGCCAGAGGCGGCACTCAGAGCCCTATCTGTGGGCACGTGCGCCATCGCCCCAGCCCTGCCACCCCTCAGCAGCCCCCCCCCGAGGAGAGTCACCCCCGGGCGCGGAGCAGTGCAGCCAAGCACATGGCAGCTGGGCAGCAGGGACAAGACTCGGCCCTTGCGCCCCATCGCACGCAGATGATGCTGTGGGGCACGGATGGAGGGCGTGTCCACCATGGCGCTGCAGGGCTACCTGAGCGATCTGCGGCGAACCGTGGAGGTGGTGGGTGGCTCGGCAGGTGGGGCGGGGTGGAGCGGGTGGGGCGGGGGGGTTGGGCATTCAGTCTCTAAAAGGTTCGCCATCACTGGAATAGAGAATATAGAATACAGAATAGAATAGAATAGAATAGAATAGAAAATAGAATAGAATAGAATAGAGAACAGAACAGAACAGAATATTCTATTCCATCATTTCTTTGATAATAGTGTAATTCTTATCCTAGCCCTAACCGCTGTGCGCCGCCACGAAAGACACCCGAGTTCCCTCGCAGCCGGCTCACCAGCGTCCGGCGGGAGATAAAACACGAAGATGGCCAGGATGGTGATCAAAATACAAGGAATGATGACGTTGATGAGGTAGAAAAGCGGTTTGCGACGGATGATCAGGTAGAAGGTGATATCCTCGTAAAGCGGATCGTCTGGATCAGTGTTTTTGCGGGATGGTTTGTGCTGGATCTCCCACTGCCCGTTGTCTGGGGAAAGAAAGGAGGGAGGACATCTGAAAGGAAAGTCCCCGACCCCACAATTACATCTCCTCCAGTGGGGTGGGGAGGTTCCCTCTAGGCCGAGAAGCCCCCCTTGTTCTTTCAGCAGATTGAAAAAGGGCCCCGAGAGACGGAGCTGGGCAAAGCCGGGGACTTCCGGAGGGGAGATAGTCTGCACAGAAGGGAGGATTCTGTGGGTAAATCCTGTATTCGTTTGACCCAGAATAGAAGGCCGCCCTACTCTAGATCTCTTTGAGGATGGCTTAAGACACAATATGGACATTGATTTGAGGCCAGGAGATCAAAACAAGATGGCAGCCACAACTGTGCAATTGAAGCCTGTTCTTTTTTAAAAATAGACCTCGCAGATCTGGAGAAGACTCCTGTGTATCCCTTGGACAGCAAAGGTGACTAACAAACAAATACTGGAGTGTGTAACATCAGGCAAGGCAACAATCACAAAAACTGCATCTCACTTGTTTTGGCCATATCGTGTGTGGGGAGTTCGCTGGAAAAAGCATTGATAGCGGTACCTTGGTACTCAACTGTTTTGAAATTCATCGAATTTAGTGCATTTTGACATGAAAAATTTGTCCTGCTACTCATCGTTTGGTACTCAACGTAAAAGCTAGAACTTGTCGGTGTCGGCTACCTTGAGTCTCACTACATTATTCCTGATGGGAAAAATGTGTTTGGTGCTCACCGTTTTTGGTACTTATCACGCTGCCCGGAACCAATTAAGGATGAGTGCCGAGGTACCAACCACTGTGTGTTTGAAAGAGTCAGTGGAACAGGAAACCAGACCATCCAAGAACATTGTCACTATCAAAGCTGACAACAGCTAGAGCAGGGGTCCCCAGCCCCCGGTCTGTGGACCGGCATTGGTCTGCAGCATGCCAGCAACCGGGCTGCACAAACAAGCAAAGCCCCATCCGCAGGATGAAGGCAGTATGCAAAACCACACCCCCTCTCATCCGTGGAAAATCCTTTCTCCACGGCACTGGTCCCTGGTGTCCAAAAGGTTGGGGACCTCTGAGCCAGAGCACAGAACAATTCAAAAGAAGCAGTGCAAGATCAGGAGATGGGGAGAGACCCCCTGGCCCTGAGAATCGTCAAGAGTATGGACATGGCTGAATGGATAACATCATTGTCATCACCACTGTCCCTCTGGACACGCATCCTTTGAGGGAGACATTGTAAGGAATGAAAATGAAGAAAAATTGCATTGATTGCGAACTCAGGATGGGGTTCCCGTGAAATCCTCCCTTGGTTACTTGAACGAAGCTGGTGTGCGGGGTTCGTGGGACATACCCGCGGACCATGGATTTTTATCACATACTTGAGTCTGCACAGCAAACAGGCAAGCATCCCCGCATCTTGGCGTCTTTTCCTCACCAATAAATGAGTTCTCGTAGATTAAGATCTCCTTCACCTCCTGCCCGTTCCCGTTGATGGGATGCAGAAGGGTGAGTTCCGAGGCGTCGTACGTGTACGACCGGAAAACCATTGTGCAGTTTTGCCAATCGAACGGGAAGTAAGTCACCTGCAATGCCACAAAAAAAAAAGAGGGGAAAAAACCCAGGACGTATATGCCACCTTGGTGTAGTCCATTAACCACATCCTCCTTTATTAAACACAAGTAGTCCTCAACTTACGATGACCATTGGGACTGCAATTTCCATTGCTAAGCAAGGAGGTTGTTAAGAGTTGTGGTGGCGCAGGGGTTAGAATGCAGGACAGGCAGTCCCCGACTCACAACCGTTTATTTAGTGACCATTCAAAGTTACAACGGCGCTGAGTGACTTATGACTAATTTTCACACTTATGACCGTTGCAGCATCCCCGTGGTCACGTGAATAAAATTCAGACCCTTGCCACCTGATTCATATTTATGACGGTGGCCATGTCCCAGAGTCACGTGATCCCCTTTTGTGACTTTCTGACAAACAAAGTCAAAGGGGGAAGCCAGATTCACTTTACGACCGTGTGACTCACTTAGCAACTTCAGTGATTCACTTAACAAATGTGGCAAGAAAAGTCATAAAATGGGCAAAACTCAACAAATTTCTCACTTAACAACATAAATTATGTGTGGTGAATTTGCACTTAGCGCTTCCTGCGAGGGATAAACCTGCTTCTCTTAATCCAGGAGTCTTCAAACTTGGCCCTTTTATGACTTGTGGACTTCAACTGAATTCCTGGCTGAGGAATTCTGGGAGTTGAAGTCCACAAGTCATAAAAGGGCCATGTTTGAGGACTCCTGTTTTAATCTAACCCATTCCCACGATAGGTCGAACTACAAACCCCATCATGGGCAGAGAGGCAAGGGCTGGGGGCGGAGTCTAACCTGGATACTGCAACTGCTCCGATAAAGGCCCGGGGGCTGCCACTGGACCCTCCCGTTGTGGTGCACGAGGACGTTCACGCTGAGAGCGATATCGAAGACACCATCATTGCTGGAGGGAAAAGAGAAGAAAAACGCCATCATTGTTGTGGACAGAAACACGAAACCGCTTCTACCTTCTACAGAAAAACGGACGCTCAAAATCCTTCATTGGAGTATTGCAGCCATTTTATAGCCATTTTTTACGGCAACCAAGATTCTCAGTAAAAGAACCCTTCGCTTTAACCAAGTGGGAGTCGAGGGTTTTTCTTTCCTAAAGGACCGAATTGGGGCAGGTCTGACAGTGGTGGTTATTCTTTTCTGTCTCTTGCCTCTGTCCTTACTGCCCCCCGCACACACCCCCATGCCAGGTCAGAGAGGAAAGGGGAGGCTCCGGTCAGCTCCAACACCCTGTCCCACCCCAACAATTATTGATGAGGCTAGCATCAAGATTCTAGTCTTCATGAAGGCTCACTTGTTCATGAGAACGATATCTGGGAGCCACACTTTGTCTGCATCAAGTCGGATGGACGTGATTCCCTCAAATTCAGCCGGATCCCAGGTGAGCCGGTAGTCAATCCACTCCTGAGATGGAAAAGGAAAGCCGGGCAAGGAAGATGATGGAATAATCCAGCAGAAAAGAGGAAAAATTACAGGCCAGCCAGTAAGTTAAAGAATGGTAAGTTAATAAGGTACAGACAGTCCTCAACTTTCCACAGATCATTTAGCAACCATTCAAAGTTAAAATGGCACTGAAAAAAGTGATTTATGACCATTGTTCACACTTATGACCATCGCAGAATCCCCGTGGTCACGTGATCAAAACTTGGCCGCTTGGCAAGTGACTCATATTTATGTCCGTCACAGCATCCCTGGGGTCACGTGATCTCCTTTTGTGACCTTCTGACAAGCAAGGTCAATGGGGAAGCCAAGTTCACTTAACAACAACATTACTAACATAATAGCTGCAATTATTCACTTAACAACTGTGGCTAGAAAAGTCGGAAAATGGATCAAAATTCACCTGACAAATGTCACTTAGCAACAGAAATTTTGGGCTCACTTGTGGATGTAAGGTGAGGACTACCTGTATATGGCACAGCGTCAGACTTCAGGAAGGAGGTAACGAGCAGAAATTGTTTCTCTGGATACCTTCATTTTTTGGCAACCCAGATGGAGCCACATTGATGAGGTCAACTGCCCAGGAGCGCTGCGCTTTGTGGCTGTTATAGGCAACATCCTACTTGCTAGGGGCCCAGAGACCCTCCCTACAATCTCTCTACAGCTGTCCTTGAACCCGTCTTCCTCTTTCTCTTCCCCCCAAATAGCTGCTTTTCCTTCTACTCCAGCTTCAAATTTCTCCTCCTGTTCGATCCTCAACGGACGAGAAAGTTCGAGAAAAGTATCCTTGCTTTTCTAATACTGTGGCAGAGGCAGCAATTGTCCGCAGAGGGCAAAAAGGTTAAGATGGCGGTCTGTTTATTTATTTATTTTACTCACCTGGTCCATATAGACCTTTGTGGTCAGCTCTTCATCCTTCTCATTCTGAAAAGAAGACAAAGATGCCTGGTGCCCATTGGGGTCCTTTCCAGAGCCTCCATATCGCTGGGACTTTCAACACTCCGAAAAAGGAAAAACACCCTCCCAGGAAGACCCAGTGATTGAGGGAGGAGGCACTGGCCCCCCACTGTGGCGGATGGGTTCATGCAAAGGCTGGACCTCAGGCCTTCATCTGGAACCCAGCACTGAGCGGGGGGGGGGGTTGACTAGATGACCTCAGGGAGCCCTCCAAACTTTTAGAATCCTCAGTCCTGGGAAGGGATCCAGGCTTGGCTAAGTGGGGGGAGGGGGGCTTCTTGGTAGTGGCACCCTTTGGGATCTCTCCTTGGGGAAACGCTTTGATTCATTCTGAAACCCACCGGCTTTGAAAAAGGCACGATTTAATTCTTCCCGGTTCCGTTATACGGGAGGAATTAAATTGCAATGACTCGAAAGGGAGGTGGGGTTTTTTGGGTTTTTTCTGTCATTTGCTGCCTTGGTGTCTTAGAACAGGGAGGTCAGGCCAGGATTCGGCACAAAAATCCATCGCTAAGCTGTCAGACCTGCCACCTCTAAATAGAAACAATCCTTGGCTCCCTTCGTTGAGAAAGGCCGGAACTGAGAGTCACAGTGTCCCTAAGTTCAACTTTTCCCTCCCTTAACTGCCTCCTATCCCTGACACAAACACAACACACACACACACACACCACCACCACCAATCAGGTCCAGACCAGATATTTTCATAATGATCAGTCCAAGCTCAGTTTGGTATGTGGCTCCTTCCTTCTTCCAGCTGGGTGACCTTGAGGCAGCCTCTCCAGGAGATTCAGTGGCTACTTTCATTTCCCCCCAACTTTCCACCTTCCGATCCATCCTCCCCAAGTAAGCATAAGATGGTAATTAACATAAGTGGCCTGGAGATTTCCTCTCCTCTCCTCTCCTCTCCTCTCCTATCCCCCAAATCGCCCAGCTGGCTTTTGTGCCTAAGGTGGGACTAGAACTCACCATCTCCTGGTGATTGGCCCATAGTCACCTAGTCAGCTTTCATGGCCAAGGCAGGACTAGAACTCTCCGTCTCCTGGTGATTGGCCCATAGTCACCTAGTCGGCTTTCATGCTTAAGGCAGAACTAGAACTCACCATCTCCTGGTGATGGGCTCAAAGTCACCTAGTCGGCTTTCATGGCTAAGGCAGGACTAGAACTCTCCGTCTCCTGGTGATTGGCTCAAAGTCACCTAGTCGGCTTTCATGCTTAAGGCAGGACTAGAACTCACCATCTCCTGGTTTTTAGCTTTGTGCTTCAATCCTTGGCCCAAACGGTCTCCCATCTTTCCGATGGTCAGAAAGCAAGACCGGCCGATCCAGCAAATGGACACAGAGATGCTTGGGACTTGATCACAGCTCTCCCCAACCTCAAAGTGAGGGGTCGGGGCTGGCTCAGTTGGCATCCTGACCTGTCCCCTTCCCAGAGACCAGGGGGACTGTCCCACAGTTCTTGAAACGCCCCAATTCCCACCAGGCGCGAGAGAACTCCAGCTCCAGGCGAGATGGGCAGTGGACGATGAGTTATTAATAGCCGCCATCTCAGCTGTTGCAGCTTCCGTTGGCCTCTTGAACGGCCGGCATCAGGTGTGCAGACCTCAATGGCCGAAGCCCCCCCCCACGGCCGCCCCAACATATGTCTTACATATTTGGGGGGGGGGCTCAGCCCGTGACTCGCACCCCAAGGGGGGACAGAGAAGCCTGGCTGTGCCCAAGAGACTCCCCCCACGCGACCTCATATCCTCAGGAGGAAGAGCCATGGCACTCCACGCCCCATCGTCCCCAGCCCCGTCCCTATTGGCCGCGTTTGGACTGGTGGGGTGGGAGCCAGGGGTCCTCCAGAGGCTGCTGAATCATCCAAAGAGCCATTTGGCCGGAATGGTACAGGATCTCCTGCTTGAGCAGAGGGTCGGAGTAGAAGATCTCCACGATCCCCTTCCAGCCCAGCTATTCTGTGTTTTGCATGCCCGGTGGCTTCGCAGCGAGGCCGATGGCGAAGCGAGTCGGGGGCTTGGGGGGGTGGGTAAAGTCCGGGGCTTTCCCCCCTCTCCCCCCCCGGTGGCGCCCTGCCACCCCCTCCCCACTTACTAAGCTGATCAGCTGCGAGAGGGACATGCCCACCCTCACCGGGACCTTGTGGGAGAGGCGGCGGATCGGCAGGACCGTGGCGGAGTAGCTCCGGAAGAGCCGCGCTTTCAGGCGCCCCTCGACTTCGAAAACCCCCTCGGCTGGAGAGGGGAGAGAAGAGGGGAGAGAAGAGGGGGGTGCTGGGGGGGATAGAGGGAAGGGGGGGGAGACGGGCTGTTCTTGCTGCGCCCTGCAAGCGCCCTGCAGGCGGACAGACCCAGCCTTCCACAATCTAGGGGGGAACTCGAGTTCAAATACGTGGGGGTGGGGTCCCCCGGCTCTCAGCCCCCCCCCGAGGCCTACCTGAGACGGCCAGCATCCACAGGAGCCCCCCAAGGACCACCCCCCCGAGCATGGCGTCCCCTCGCCCGCCGATCCGAGAGCTGCCTGCTGGCCACAGAGACGCCGCTCCAGAAATGCCGGGGAAGGGTCGGGTCGAGTTCCCGGGTTTGGGGTGGGGGGATTACCCAGTTGTCGAAGGCATTTCCGCCCGGCCAGCTGTCCCAGGAAGGGCAGCCAAAGACGGCCGGAGCCTCTCCGGTTGCAGCCGCGGGGCGGGGGGCGTCCAGGGGGGGGGCAGACCCTCCCTCCGGGCTGCGCAGAGAAGGGAAGATGCCCCCCACCCTCCCAGGGGAACAAGAACAGGCTGAGCCCCACCGGAAGGTCCCGACGATCCGCCCGGCAGTTGGCACCGCTGCCGCCCCTCCCCCCACCAAGCCGGACTGCAGAATATCTGGGTTCAAACCAGACCGACCCAATTTAGAATCGGGTGGAAATCACGGGGGGGGGGGAGGCTCCTGTCCTGCCGTGCTCAGCAAAGCCCTCCAGCAGCAGATATCTCGGCTTAGCGCTCCCATCACCGCCCACCGGCTAGTTAGGGGGTGGGGTGGGGGGGCAGCAGTACCCCCAAACTCCCCCCGTTTTGTATCCCAGGAAGCCGGTGGGTGCTTAATTCACACGTCCGATAATCCCAGGACAGACAAGAACGGGGAAACTTGGGTAGAAAGAACAAGTCTAACAAGCGTCGGAAGGGACCTTCGAGGTCATCTAGTCCAACCCCGAGATCTTACACATACACATACACACACCATTCCGGACCTCCAGGGCTTGGAGCAGCCAGAACTTCGGGTGGCAAGTCGTTCCGCTGGATAATCGTCAGGCAATTTCTGGGTCGGAAGCGCGCGCATTTCTGAAGCCCTGCAAAAACCCCCCCCTCCCTCAAAAGACCAAGTGCGCAAAAAAGAAAAAAACTGTAGAAAGTATCCTTTATTTTAGGGTGCCAAAGGGGGGGGTGTCGGGGGGGCGGCGGCCCGATCCTTCGCCCCAGGGATTGGGGCGAACGGCTGGACGGAAGCCAATTTCTCATGCAGGACCGAAGGCGCGTTCCCGCAATTATTGCGAATATTAATGAAGATTATGACGACTATTAATATTATTATTATTGCTTTTCAGTGGAGGGTCGAGGGGAAGGGGACAAGGCGGGGAGGGGGGAGAGGCGGGGCCAGGGGCGGAGCTAAGGAGGCCAAGCCCCGCCTCTCCGGCCCGGCTTGTCAAACCTCGGCTCTTGCGCCGCGCAGGAGCATCTTCCCTGAATTGCGCCTGATGCATTCCGGAGCGCAGCGGCATCCAAGTCCCCACCCGGCTTTTCCAAGGAACGGGGTCCTGCCTTTAAGGTTTTCATGACACTTATTAAGGATAGTGCTCGGAAGTATCCACAAAACCGTGGGCCACTTTTAAGACTGGTGGACTTCAACTCCCAGAATTCCCCAGCCAACTGGAAAATTCCTAATTCCTAATTCAGGCGCAGAAGACTCCCGTCTTCTTGAAACAATCACTTAAAGCCATCCAAATAATTACACAGCAGCAGATTTGAGGATCTGTACCTCTAACTGAGGGAGGGGGCTCTTCAAATTTGGCAACTTTAAGACTTCTGGACTTCAATTCCCAGAATTCCTCAGCCAGCTCTCAGGGCTGCTGCTGTTTCCTAGTTGGGTGAGGGTCTACAAAAAAAACCCTTCCAAGTTCAGAGAGCACCAAGGACCCCACAGTTGTCGTCGTCGTCGTCCTCCTTTCCCCAAACTCCTTTCTCTTCCAGCACTGCTGATGTTCCCTAGATGGGTCATGAAATTGCAGCAAAACTCAACACCTACATCCCTTAGCAAAGGCTTCAATGTGGTGGTAAGTTGAGAACTACCCTGTGGTTTTGGCCCTTTTTGAAATGGGGCAGAGGAAGTGTCAAGACCGCGGGGTCCTGGGGAGGTCGAGAAGAAGGGAGTGGGCGGATTCCTCTCCCTACATCACAGGTCCCCAACCTTGGCAACTTTAAGACTGGTGGACTTCAACTCCCAGAATTCCCCAGCCAGCCATGCCTGGTTTTTTTTTTTCACCTATCCCTTAAAGCCGAGAGATTGGAGAAGAAGGGATTATAAGAGAGTAAGCAGGGCCACGATGAGTATGCTGGCTGGGGAATTCTGGAAGTTGGAAGTCCACAAGTCTTAAAGTTGCCAAGGTTGGAGACCCCTTACCCTACAGGGCTGGGTGGAGGCAGAGCGCTTAACCGCCTGGAAGAAGGGCCGGGGAGGATGGGCAGTGTATTAGGGAGCTCGGAGACTGGTTTGCTTCGGAGAGTTGGAGGGGTCCGGGGTGGGTGGGTTCCTGTCTGGAGGAAGCAGATCCATCACGTTGCTATTCCAGATAGACTAGAATAGACCTGGAAGGGACCGTGGAGGTCTTCTCCAGCCCCACCCCCCCGCTTTTGGATCACACACACAGGCACAAGGCAAGGGGTTAGGAAGCCGCCCCTGCCCCACGCGGATCCACAGGCTCGAGGGACCCCACACCACAAGCAGCAATCCGCACCGCCCCTGCCCACGACTGCAATCTCCCACCCCCACCCCCCCCGCCTCATTTATTGCCTGCAAAGAGAGGAATAGGTGACTTCGGGCTCCTGAGAGATGGGCAGAGAGACAGATCAGAGATGGTGGGTGGGGAGGCAGGTGAAGACCCTTAGAAGAGACCCCCGCCCCCCCACTCCCTCCCCCCCCCCGGTGCCCGCGCGATGGCAAGCGAGCGATTCCCCGCAGCCCTGCGCCGGGGCGAGAGCGCTGCCACCCAGTGGCCAAATGAGGTACTGCAATTCTCCGGGTCTCGCTCCAAGGACGGGGATTGCGCCGGAGAGGCGTGCTGCCGCCTGGTGGCCAAGAGCGGCGTGACACAATTTGGGGAGGGGGCCACACGTCTCCGGCAGGCGAAAGGGGCTTCGGTCCCCACTTTGGACTTTTCTGCCCGTAGAAGAAGAAGAAGGGGGGGGG